CGGAGGAACGTTCATGCTGGGCGGTGGTCCCATTCTCGTCGTTTGCGGGGGCTGCACGACCCTCCTGCCTCGCCTCTGGCCGGTTGACAATTTCAGGAGCCTTTCATGTCGGCTGGCCATCGTACCTGCACGAAGTAAAAGAAAAGTCAGTATCGAGCAAAACGCGTAAATAAATGACGAGTAAAGAATTTCAAACAAACAACCTAACAGGCGGGCTGCCTGCCTATATGTCGAACATTCCACCAACGCCTTGGTGTCGATCGGGCGAGCCTCGAATGTCGGGTAACCGTCCTTGTCGAGGATATCATTCCCTTCCCGCGTAATCCATTGGGCGGGATGAAAACTGTCGACAAAGTTACAGAGAGCCTCATACGCCCGCTGATCCTCCGTGCACATGTCCCCGACTGCGGTATGGAAATAACCGGTTCCATGCTCGAAGTGTCGGGACATCCAGTACACCGGGAACTTAGCCCGACGTCCTAACACGGGGCTCCCGTCATCGGCCAACATTGCTTCCCCGTCATCATCGCTGACCGGCCCTTCCTCCTCGAAGAGGGAATCTACAGCAGAGTCGGTAGTAGGGCGTACCACATACCACTTATCCTTGAACCCCCTCACAGAGTCCATGTACATCCTAAACAGTCTCCTCGACTGCTTCAGGGACACCCAGCTGTGCTTCCCTCCTCGGGACTGACGCTGTAGGTGGAATACCCTAAAGAAGAGAGGGATGGTCGCCCCTATCCTTAAGTAGCGACACGTCAGCTCAAACGCCCGGATGAAGGCGAGAGAGTTTGGGTGTAGCTGGGACGGGGCCAGCTCCAAATGCGTAAAGACCCCGGTCTCAAAGTCTGTGAACGGCAGCCGCAGCCCCAAGTCTTTAAACGCGATCTCGTACATCGCAAAGCTGTAGTCCGGGTACATTGAACAAATTCTGGCGTTGGTCGACGGCAGCATGACCACGAAATTCTGCTGGAAGTCGGGCTGGTCCTGCCCCTCTTCGATAGCGGTGAATGGATGTCGGTCATCCCGACTGTATATCGACGCCGTCCCCCGAGGCTCGGCGCCCACCCATTCCAGCGATGGGTCGGTCACGGTGTCTATAAGGTTGGCCGACTCGTCGGCACTCTGTTCTTCGCTGTCACGACGACCGGAGGAGCTCGGCTCATCCGCCATGGTTACCTGCAGAGCACGGGAAACCAATCAGATTGAGCATGAAGTCCTATGCTCGACATAATCATGTCGTCCATACACTACCACACAAGTCCATTTTCACAAGTGGATGCCTCCCCGACTCTCCTGAATCCAGTGTTCTTCCTCAAACCAACTGCGCGGCCACTCTTCAAGCATGTCGATCCGAGGTATGAACATGGCGAGCCGCATTATGAAGCCCACGGCCACGACCATAAACATACCGGGCACCGTCATGAATCAGGCGCCCAGGATCATGAAGACCCCGGGCAGCTCTGAAGTTTTTCACCTAAAACTATGAATGTGTCGGCCACAAGTATGCGTTTGCCGGCCCTAGACATGAATCTGTCGGGCAAAACACAAGTTTACCGGGCTAACCCAACATTAACGGTCCTAAAACATCTACAATTTCCAAGAATCATGCATTCTAAAACAGGAAAATAAAGAAAATAGATCACTTACTTGGATCAAAGTTGGGATTTGGCTAAGAAATGAAGAATCTGAGACGGGAAGTCACGACTGGAGAGAGTGTTGAGAGTTGCAACGGAGAGAGCACGGAGAACGGAAAACGTATTATGGGGCCCAAGGACCCTATTTATAGTGATGACGTGGAATACCAAACGTCACCTCGTTCAGCCACGGACTCCGTCTCCTCGACGCACTGCTCCCAACGCAATGATGGCCCTACCCCCCTAGGGTGGCGGCACAACTCCCGAAAGATGCCTCGTGTGCTCGACTGACGCGCCCGGTACGGATCCTCCACGCATCCACCACCGAGGACATCTCCGAGCACGGCACGAGGAGACCCCTCGAGGGTCCACGCCTCCATCCCGGGCACGAGACCTCAGCGACGGAACAACTGTTTCAAGTCATGGCTCCTCGCAAAGGAACCACGACTTGGGGGGCTCCTGTTCTGGACTGGGCCCGACAGGCCCAAAAGCATTACTAAGGCCCAGTCCAAAGGGACTCACTAAGGACCACACTGGGCAAAGGGGGTCACGTCCATGCCCGACACCCTGATGTCGCCCTCGACATCTCGGTGTCCAGCCCCACGATGAAGCCCTGCTCGACATCATGCCGTCCAGCTCTATGTCTTGGCTTCCAGCTCGACACTCGCCGTCCAGCTCGAGGTCTTGGCGTCGAGCTCGGCACCGTGCTGCGCAGCTCGACATGGTCTCGAGCTAACTTGCTAGGGCAGACTTAGTCCTCCATTGCCCCAACGATACTCCGGAAAGACCGCGTCTCCGTCCGCCCGCATTTCATGCAGCATATCCAGGAAGGGGACCACGTGCTGGTCCCCACTACCCACGTAGAACCTGGCAGTTCCTCCATTGGGCCAAATCCGCCCGGCCCAATGAAGGAACCTTGGCCCAGCGCTGGGGGCTATAAATACTCTCTGCTTCCAGAGGGTCAGGTATTCATCATTCTAACCTCAACTCTATTATTTGCTTGTACTCCCACTGACTTTAGCATCGGAGTGCCTTGCAGGTACCCCCCCCCCCTCCTCGTTCAAAAAGCCTTCAGCTCGGAGTAAGCCGTGACGGTCCAAACCTTCTGATCAGGTCAGATCAGTTATGAAGAAGGGTTTGGTCTCATTGAAGTGTTATCTTCCCTGTAGAGTAAAAAGCTAATTGATACTCGCGTTGTTATGAGTGCGGTCGACCGTGCAAAGAGGAGAGAAATCTTTGTTAAGGGAGGAGTCCTAGAGTTTTTTTGACATGTGTGCATGTACTCTGCATATAAAATGGACAAGTCGCAGCTGATATTTTTTTCTTTTCTCTTTTCAAGGCATCAAACATTGTTCTTCTGACCGACCTATTACACCTCTTTCCACAACTATTGCACCTCACCTGTTGTTGGGGCTACTACAGCTGCCACTGGTGTGGATCAACTTACAACTACCACTCTCTTTATGGAATATCAGCCACAATTTTTTCCCACTTCGATGAAGAAATTTCATGATTAGGATCAACAATCTCCTTTAGAGGAGAACTCCCCTAAACATGCCTGTCTTTCCAGGGGTGCAAATTTAAGGTCGACTAATCATTTTCTCCGACTACTCGCCATTCTTTCTACTCGAATTCCTCGCAATCCCGAGGAAGTTGGTGTTGTTTCCTCTGTAGAGGATTTGTCCTTCATCCAAAACCTTCCCGAGACGGACAAAATGGAGCTTCTTTTTTAGGTCACCTATCACATTTACAAAACACCTTATTTGTTCTCTTTAGCTGCTGGTGGCCGAAGGTCATATCTTTGTTGTAGGTAACCTTTCAATGGGAGGGATACCTGAAAGAAAAAATGCAAATATATGGAATAGAAGTGCTCTAAATTTGAGGAAGAGACAATTGTTCTCCAGGAGAAAGTCAACCATGTTGAGGCCTTGCAGAAGGAAGTGAACATTTGAACACAACAAAAGTTATAAACTATCTTTTAAGTAGAATAATTCTAAAAACAGAATCAACTCTATTTTAGAAAAACAAAACACCTCAAAATCATTTCAAAATAAATTCTACACTTGTAAACTTGGTTTTTCCTCTTCCAAAAACTAAACCACATACACACACTAATTTATCAAATAAAAAATAAACTTTATATTAAACGCTACCAATAATTATATCATATAAAAAAAATAGTTACATCATGTATAAATATATGGGCATGTTTGTTTTGACTTTTTTAAAAATGATTTTTATAGTGTTACATAATTATGTAAAAAAAATTTATAAATAAATTTTTCATAAAAATTTCAAATGAAAATTTTGTTTCAATAATTATTCTTAAAATATTATTTTAGATATTTTATTTTTTTATTAAAAAAATTTTGGGTATTAAAATTTCAAAAATTCACTTAATTTTGAATATATTTCAAATAAATTTTTATAAAAGTCATTTATAAAATATAACTTTTAAAAAAATTATGATTTTGACTGTGTTTTAGTCTTTAATAATATATAAATGTTCATGTTATTAGATATAAAAATTAGTATTTCAATTTAGAAAAAACAAATATAAAAAATTTATAATATTTAAAAAAAAACGGTTTTATAAAATCTATTTTTAAAAATACAGAAAAAAAATCATTTTTTTTTAAATTGGAACAAACCTGCCCTGTATTTAATAAATAGAATTCATTAACAAAAATATGGATTAAATACGTGTAATTGGATATTTCTTGGATTATAACTAAGTTGACTTAATAGATCAATAACTTTCATATTCTTTTCAGCGTGATTCTTTTTTCTATTTTTATGTTATTCCTTTTTTCTGTATTCATATAGGCTAGCTGTTATGTCCTTAATTTTCAATATTTATTTCATTATTTCCCCTTATGGTTATAAATAAATAAACGCGCATTCCTTTTCTTTATAGCTTTCAAAATCTTAGTTGACACGATTTCCCATTTTTAAGGGAAGTGTGACATTATAAGAAAATGAATCAATGAATGAATATACTAACTATACTCTTCATTACTCCTTCTTCACTGTCAAAAGATAAGTTGCTTGCAGCATAGGGAATTGCTTTGGAATCTCTCTCACTTTAATTGATGCTCATACGTAAGAAATCCATTTTGTTTTCTTCTTCTTTTTTTATGTTGATCATCTGCCGTATCTGCGTAGAGTCGTATTTCTTCACTGTTATCTGATGCGGCAGATGATCAACATAGTTACTTTTATATCAAGTTTTGTATCTTTTATTCTATTGTTCACATATTTAAACATTCTTTAATTATTGCATTAACATGGTTTGATTTAACTCAATTTTCCTTGTTCTCCAGATTCATAGTTTTGATTGAAGAGTTTTATTGAGAAACCATTATGGGATTTGATAATCCAAGATCTGAGAGGTTAGTTAATAGTTACCTAAATTCCTTCCAATAACTTCCAAAATTTCAACTTATTTAGTACTAATTACTTGAAATTTTCATAGGTTTGAAGATGGTTCTGATGTATCAAAAACTCCATCAACAAATGGTGTTAAGGTGAAATACCACATTGATGGAACACAAATACCAAAACCAAGTTCGAGAAAGGCTCAGAAAAAGGTTACAAGGAACAAGTTTTTGAAAACAAGAGTATTATCGAGAGTATTCTCAGAGGATTACGAAAGAGTGAAAAAGAGAGTATTAGTATTAGATCCTAGGGGACAAATCATTCATCGTTGGAACAAGATATTTCTGGTAGCATGTTTAGTTTCTTTGTTTGTGGATCCTCTTTTCTTTTATTTGCCGGTAGTTAGAGAAGAAGTTTGCATTGATATTGGAAAAAATCTCGAAATTGTGCTCACAATTGTTAGATCAGTTGGGGATTTGTTTTACATGATTCAGATTTTTATGAAGTTTCGTACCGCCTACGTTGCTCCTTCTTCCAAGGTTTTTGGTAGAGGAGAACTTGTTCTTACGTATTCGAAGATCGCTGTTAGGTACTTCAGCAAAGGTTTTTGGTTAGACTTTATTGCTGCATTGCCTCTTCCTCAGGTACCGATGTTTGGTTACAAAGTGCGGCCAAATGTGTCTACGTCTCTGACTATATATATTTGTTGTTGTTGCACTTGCAGGTGTTGATTTGGATTATTATCCCGACACTTAGGGGTTCGACAATGGCGAACACGAAAAATGTCCTTCGATTTTTCATCATTTTCCAATATATTCCAAGGCTATATTTGATTTTTCCACTTTCGTCGCAAATTGTGAAAGCTACTGGTGTTGTGACAGAAACAGCATGGGCTGGTGCTGCTTACAACCTCATGCTTTACATGTTGGCCAGCCATGTAAGTCATCACAGAAATGTAAAGAAAATTTGAAATATCGTCTCGGAAACTTACTTATACTTTTATGTTGTTAATAGATTTTAGGAGCTTGCTGGTACCTTTTATCGATTGAACGTCAAGAAGCGTGTTGGAGAAGTGTGTGCAATATGGAGAAACCAAATTGCCAATATGGATTCTTTGATTGCCATCGAGTTAAAGATGCGTCGAGGGTCAATTGGTTTATATCTAGTAATGTCACAAATTTATGTTCACCGAGTGCTGGCTTTTATCAATTTGGTATATATGCTGATGCCATGACTTCTCAAGTTACATCCTCTCCATTCTTCAATAAGTACTTCTTTTGTCTCTGGTGGGGCTTAAGGAATCTCAGGCAAGTATTATGGTCAATAAGTATTTTATACTTTGCTAGAAACCTCGAAATGTTGCTCATTTTTCTAGTTGTTTTACGCGGTAGTGTTGAGCAAAATATAATGATGTATTTCTGATTTGAGGGTGCAGTTCTTTAGGACAAGGCCTTCTTACTAGCACTTTTATTGGAGAAATCATGGTGGCCATTGTTGTTGCAACACTTGGATTGGTTCTTTTCGCGTTGCTGATCGGTAATATGCAGGTAAGCGCGGTTCATTTATTTCTCTTGGTACAATTGAAAACGTGTTTCTCATATTGGATGAAATATGACTGGAAGATATGTTTTTTTTTTTTGCAGACATACCTGCAATCGATAACTGTTCGGCTAGAAGAGTGGAGGGTGAAAAGAACTGATACAGAACAATGGATGCATCACAGGCAACTACCTTCAGAACTAAGAGAGTCTATTCGGAAATATAATCAATATAAATGGGTGGCTACGCGAGGAGTAGAAGAAGAAGATCTTCTCAAAGGACTTCCACTCGATCTTAGGAGAGACATCAAACGCCACCTTTGTCTTGAACTAGTTCGAGGAGTAAGTCAAGAAACACCAAGTTTTGATTTGTATATATGAAAAATTTTGGTTGCGAATACGACCATGTCATAATTTTGGCTGATGCAGCCTCAATCACATTCATAGAGACATCAGAAATCTTGATACCGAGTCCAAACCACAGTCATATAAGTTAACTTCAAGTACAAGTTAATTAATATTAGCTTATGACATTTGAAATGATCGATTAACTGATTATTAACAGGTTCCATTGTTTGATCAAATGGACGAGAGGATGCTAGACGCGATATGCGAAAGACTAAAGCCTGCACTATGCACTCAAGGAACATACCTTGTTCGCGAAGGCGATCCAGTGAACGAAATGCTTTTCATAATTAGAGGCCATCTTGATTCGTACACCACAAACGGAGGCCGAGACGGATTCTTCAACTCATGTCGTATCGGTCCAGGTGATTTCTGTGGCGAAGAGCTCTTAACATGGGCCTTAGATCCAAGACCAAGTGTGATACTCCCTTCATCGACAAGAACGGTTAAAGCTGTCTCGGAAGTAGAAGCGTTCGCGCTCATAGCCGAAGATCTTAAGTTTGTTGCGTCTCAATTTAGAAGACTACATAGTAAACAGCTTAGGCATAAATTCAGATTCTATTCACACCAATGGAGAACCTGGGCTGCTTGTTTTGTTCAAGCTGCATGGAGAAGGCACAAGAAAAGGAAAGAAGCTGCTGAATTGAGGGCTAAGGAGAATCTTATGGCAGCTTCGGAGACCGAAAGAGAAACAAAATATGGGACAGGTTTTGTTGTTTATGGAACAAGGGTGGCAAGGAGTACTAGGAAAGGTGTGGTTAGCTCTTTGCAGAAGCCAACAGAACCTGATTTTAGTGATGAATAAGAATGACTGTATATTGTTGTTTTATAGTCTCTTAATTGTGTAATTTGTTTGTTTTGGATCAATTTGTTGATATGAATTAGAGATAGGAATTGTTGTAACAAGTTGAGCAACTTTGTTAAGTTACTAGAGTGCATGCACTTTGTACTAAGGTGGAGACTGAAGTTTTTCAATCCACACTAGAAATGCAGAGTTTATCAGAAAAAGATTTTTCGATAGTATATTTTATATCAAAATTCATTTTTTTTTGAAGGATCTTCCCGATCTAATATTTTTTACAAATTTGAGCGAATTATAAGGTTGATTGAAAAATTTTCAACATAAATTGTTCATTACATCCTTAGTGATTCTCTCAAACTCTTTAAATTCCTCATTTGTCTCTCATATTGTTGCATTGATGTTGAGTTTTAGTTGAAAAAATAACGTCTCTTCGAATATGTATATCCGAAATCTACCTACTATATTTTGGATGTGCATATTCGAAACTATGTCAATTACATAAACATAATTTTGTTTGAATAAATTTTCTGATTTTACCCGTTTTAGATATGGTACATCCTGGCATCTTTCCCAAAGCTGTTGTTAAAGTTCCGAACAAGGTAAAAGACGAAGCCAAGCCATAAGAGGTGAAGGACGACCTTAAAACGATTGTTGTCGAGATAGATGTTCGACAACAATTTACAAATGATAAAATTTTCAATGATCGTCAACATACGCTTGAATGGGCCAAAATGGAAGCTAGCAAACTCGGGTTTGAGATTCTGATTGGAAGGTCCGACAATGACACTAGTAGAAGGCAAGCATTTACAACGATGGTATGTGAGAGAAATGGAAATTGTGCAGATACTGTAGGGTGGATGATATGTCGCGGTATAATGTCATTTCTGGTATACATAATCATGCGTTGGATACCAAGTTACAAGGTCATCCAATTGTATATCAGCAAAAGTCGAAGGAGAAGGAAATTATTTCGGAGATGTCGATAATCAAAGTTGCGGTGAGAAACATACTTATCAATTTGAAACGGAAAAGACCACAAAGTGTTTCAAATATCAGGCAGGTATACAATGAATGTTATCAACACAACCTGACGAATAGAGGTCCAAGATCCGAAATGCAACAACTTTTGAAACTTTTGGATAATAACCACTATGTTTCAAGGTACAGAGTGTGTGAGGATAAAGTCAGTGTTAGTGATATTTTTTGGACGCATCCAAAGAGTATCAAGTTATTCAAAACATTTTCAACCGTTCTTATAATTATTTCAACGTACATGACCAACAAATACAAGCTTCCGCTTCTAGGAGTTGTTGGTGTCACTTCTACGGAGAAGACATTTTCGGTTGAATTTGCATTGCTAAAATATGAGAAAGAAGACAATGTTACATGGGTGTTAGATATATGCAAGAGTTTGTTGAATGATCTACTTAATATGTCAAGTGTCATTGTAACTGACCGAGATAACGCCCTTATGAATGCGGTTGGAAGTGTGTTTCCTACTTCATATGCATTACTTTGTCGGTATCATATAACAAAAAATGTGAGAGCTAGGCTAAAACATGTGGTTGGAAACAAAGAAATCAAGGGTGAAGACGGAAATATTGTCAAATATAGTGTTGTGGTGGAGAAGATAATGGACACATGGATGAATATATTAAATTCTTCTACAGAAGAGTTGTATGCTGAGAATGTGGTACATTTCAGAACCTTGTGGGTCAAATATCCCGTTTTTTTGAAATACCTTGAATCTACTATGCTTGATCAGGTGAAAGAGAAAGTTATGTGTGCTTGGATGGATCGGGTTAGACATTTGGGAAACACAACAACTAATAGAGTCGAACATGCACATTCGGTATTGAAGAAATGGTTGGGTGATAGCAAATGAGATCTTTGTAGAGAATGAGACACGGTGAACCAAATGCTCCAAAACCAACATAATGAAATTCAAACAACTTTTGGTCGGAATATAATCGTGGTAGAACACCAATTCAAAGACAACACTCTCTACTTGTAGTTGGTTTTCAACATATCCGGGACGAGATTGAATTTCAATTTTCATGAAGCAAAGTGAGCGAAGACGTCAGGGCCGGACAGTTTGAAGTGTGGATGTACAATTAGGAAAACTTACAGGCTTTTATGTGCTTGTCTCATTTCTAAAAATATGAAGCTAAATTCCTCCATACGTATGGACGAGGTCTACGATCATTGGAAAAGACTTCAGTTTAATGACTACAGTGCGACGAAGGACGGTACATCGAGTATAACCATCACAACCGAGTTGAAAGTGATCAAGATAGATTTTCTAAAGTAGATGATACTATGATATTTCACATAAAAGAATAGTTGAGTAAAATCATCTATCCAGAAACCACTGATTTGAAACCTCATTCGCAACCGGTAAAAATCAAAGGTACCCCAAAAAAGGTAAAAATTACACAAGATGATGTTCAAAAAAGTGGACTTCGTCTTAACATGAAGTTGTTAATTGGATATTTTTGGATTCTTCAAAATCACAAACAAGTGTTTTCAAGGGAGCTCGCATTTCTAAACCACCCCGTACACCCCTATTAAACAACAACCTCATACACCTCTGATTAAAAAATCACCACTTCAATCTATGATTATCTACATTGATTAGATGTCTATTTTTATGCACAAACACATTGAAAGAATCATATATGTGGGGAATGAATGGTAATTACGGGTTTCAGGTTGTGTCCGACTTACTTGGTAAAGGAGAGGAGAATCACACTCTTGTGCGCTAAACACTTATTTCAGAGTTGACGATGCATATGGAACATTACACACGAATATATGTGAATAAGGAAGCATTCGATAAAGTTCACATAACTCTTGTTCCAAGTGTTAGTGTTCGTGCACCAGCTGAAAAGTGGTCGAGCTTTCCTGAAATGGGTCATTTTATAGCAAGTGCATATGACATAGTGTGTATCGATCTGACGAGATATGATTTTTCGAAAATATTTTTCCCACTTCGGATTCTCCCACCTCAATACCCATTCGGCCGCATCATTTGTATTGGGTACCTTAGATCATGTCATTTTGTTCACGTTTATTTGAAATTGGAGTGTCCTATTCCGGCTACACCAGTGCAGTGGATGACACATTCCGCAAAAGAGAATGAAACTTGGCCGAATACCTTTTTGGAAAGGATAGAAGAGTTCACCAAATTGATGGAGCTTGAGAGAGAATGAAATAGGGAGAAGTCAAAGAAATACTCGGTTTTAGATTTAAGCGATGACAATTCATTCGATGTATTTTAGAATGTAATCAAACCATTTTTTTTAATATATTGACGTGCACTATGTAAATTCTATATGATTCAATATATATATATATATATATATATATATATATATATATATATATATATATATATATATATATATATATATATATATATATATATATATAATGTGTATTTAACATTTTACCGTTGTTTACTTTTACCGATTAAATTCTTCCCACGTTTCTATGGTACTGACTCTGCTAAAAGAGATTTTGTTAATGGTTCTGCATATTTTGGATATGTATATTCGAAATATTCTACCTTCTTTTTTAAAAAATATAATAGGGGTTATTTAGGATATGTATCTCCGAACGAACCTTCATTTTTAAAAAACAAAACAGGGGTTATTTCAGATATGCCTATCTGAAACCTCCTAATTTCGTAAAAAAAAGGTTAATACAGATGTTTATATCTGAAACATGCACGGGTGACATGATAAGAATTATTGCATCCAAATTGCTCAATTTCTTCTATAAATAGGATCTCCAAACCATTTTTTCAACATCACAAATTACAAACAGAGATGAGGCAAATATATCCCCACCTCGCTTTTGTCTACTTCAATAGTAACATGCCGCAACTGCAATTTTGGTTCTCCGAGGACACGTCTTTTCGTCGGCCTGATTATCACACGAAATTCTCTCTTGCAATATCTAGAGAATGGAAAGTGACCAAGGTCGAGTATCATTCACCTCACTTGACACTGAAGGTAAGATAAAGTTCACCAAGTTTGAGCTGAAGATGAATGACGATTTAAAGGTTATGTGGAGTACTTTTCAATGATACTTTACTAAGGTTCCGATTGAAGTGAATGTGAAGCTTTAAAGATCCGTAGAGGATGTTTTCAAAATATTGCAACGTCCTCAGCTACCCGTTTATAACAATATGTAATGTTAAATTTATGTTCAACTATCTATGTAGTTTCGAATATTTATGTCAAATCTATCTTAAGTTACTTTGGTTTTAAGGGTTTTGATTCTGTTATTGGTTCTGCGTATTTCGAAAGTGTATATCTGAAGAAAAAAAACTCGGGTGACTTGATTGCGACTTTGTATGTCTATAAATCTGGAGACTGCAAGTGCACAGTCCTATCGCGTAGTCTTAAAAGATATCGAATCCACAGGGACTATGAATCGATCTACCGTAGTTTTGGTTACTGGGTAAAGCTAAGGCTAATATTAATTTAATTGACGAAAGGGATCTAATTACTAAATTTAGTTATAAAATTTTTAATTATAAATACCGGTATGTATTTCACCTAAATTTTGGGTTCCGAATTTCCACTGGCCTTTACTTAAATTGGTCAAAAATTATCTTTACGCAAACTTTATTTGTCTAAAAACCTTCCCCTCACACTTCCGTTCTATTAGTTCAGGTTATACGATTAATATCCTAACGTGTGCTTCCGTCACTCCGCCGGATTCAAAAGTAATTTTTGAAAACAGAATAAAATTTAATTGTTTTTAAAATGCTTCTGCCTCTTTAAAAACAATGCCTAATAATCACTATCTGGTTTTAGCCTCAAACTTCCGTTTTATTAGTAAAAACCTTAATCAATTTTAAAATCTCAAACTTCCGTTCTATTGATTTATAAAATCTTAAACAATTCAATTGAATATTAAAACCATGAAAGGTATTTCTTTTACAAAATAATATTAAGCCAATTTATCTCGGATCCCGTTATTTGGTTAATTTA